ATTTCTCACCAACAGAAACAATTTCAGAGGCTTTTGGTCTGCGTGCCTTTCCTGTTGTAAAGAATTTTAGTGTGTTTTTAGAGGTTTGGATGCAATACACAAACTAGTATCTTTTGAAGTTCATCCTTTCATTGTAGAACTAACAAAAACTATTTGTGGATTAAAACAAATGTTTCTCAAGATTAATCCTATCTGCTTAAATCTATTTGTATAAAAACCTTTGATTAGGGAAAATAACAGAAATGGAAGCTACATTTCTTTATGCCAGATTTGTGTTCTTCTTGGGCAGACATTTCAGTGCAATTCTGATCTAACAGGAATTGTCAGCTTGGTGCAAGATGTCAGCTCCAACCAGACCCTATAATCTCCAACTCATTCTGAATTGAATCTCTTTGAGAATCATGTGATGATTGTTGTTTTAAATTCCTGATACCATACCTCTGCAAAAGTGAGGATTGAAATGCACCTCCAAAAAAGTAGGCCTTCCTTTTGAGAAAAGTGAAATGAACTCATGAGATATGCATGCCATATAAATATGCTTGAGCAATTTCCGTAGAATATAATCTCTACAAAAGATGGTGTGTTTTAGCTTTTAGGAAACATTTTTGTCTGAATTAGCAATTGTCAAGGAGGCATGGTTGAAAATATTTTCTTCTGTAAAGAGATGAAACATCAGCTCTCCAAACACCTTGGCTTATCTAAGGAAGCAAGTTGAGACAATTGTTTTGAGCCCTCTGAACACAGCAAGGTACCTGCAGGGATTCTTTGCAAATTCTTTTGATACTGTTTTGTCCTAAAGAGTGCCAGACTCTCTTTCACACTTCAGAAGTGCAAGAATTTTGTTTATCTTAGAGACTAAAGTACCTAGGAGGTAAATGGAGATGGAAGTGGAAAAAAAAATACTGTGCACTCTTCCAGAAAATGGATAGATTTGTGTTTGATGGAGTGGCATTACTATTTTGTTCCACTTTCAAAACATCTGATTTTGTTCAGCACTGTGTAAAATCTTCAGACTTTTTTTACAACTCCTGTGGAGTCTTTTCCTTATGCAGAGCAGCTTCCTCTTGGCACCCTTGCTCTGTGCTGTGCCCCTTTTCCAGTGCACTGGTCAACATTTGGTGCCCATTTCTGGCAATCAGAAGCACTCTGTAAATCAGAGTTGAACTGGAGGTTTGGAAGAGGCTTTGGAGGTGATAAAGTTCCTGTTTTAAAATAAAGTCGTTAATGGCAGGTTGGATGAGATTCTGTCTGTTCAGCTTTGCTGCCACATCATGGAGAAGGAAGTCAGGTCTTCAGTCAGAAATTTTCTGGGTTCAGATTTGGACTGAGTTGATCTTTGATATTAAAGTTTTAAGTTGGTTGTGGAGAAATGAGAATGAGGAAAAGAAAAAAGTTAGCATGACTATTGCTTTCAGCTTCTAAATTTTAATAAATTTAATCCCAGATAGAGGAGTTCTGGAGAAATCAGGCTATGTAGAAGCACTGGCATAATTGATGGGTTGCAGGCAAATACTGAAATAGTGCAACATACAGAATATGCATTCCCCTTTGCACTGGAGTCTGTAGAAGTATTTCACTGAAGGAAGTTGCTGCCAGCAAGACGCCAAATGGGGTGTGTTACTGCCTTTTTTGGTTCTTGGGATTCTAAAATGAGAATAGGAAAGTTTAAACAAAGCAGACAGTTTATCAGAGGCATAAGTTTTTTTAAATGTGTTTTGTGTTTGAGACAAAGCATTACTGTTCCTGAGATCTTGTAGCACCCAGTGACTGGTACGAGACTGAATCAGTGCTTTTTCTGAAGTGTTTTATAAGTTTGAGGTACTTCATTGGGTGAAACTTCTCACTGTCCAGGAAATGCTTCATTGGACAGTGTGCCAGCAGTATCATCTTCTGTACATTGCTTCTTCGGTAGTGCAAGATAATGTATTATGTAAACATGGACCAAACTTCTGATGGCAATTTTTGGTATTTTTCTGTGTTCAGCATGGTTTTGCTCCTGCTTACAAAGAAATATTTTAACTTTTCTGGGATGTTACTGTGGAAAAACTGTCTGACTTGGTACAGTCATTCAGTCATTGTGGGTGTACAATCATTGAAGAGAGGCTGGGGAGCACTGCTAATCAATAGAAGTAGGCTTTTGTTAAACATTTGTTTTTCTTCTCACATTTGTTTTCTGGAATCTCCTCAGTAGTGTTGGCCCCTGATGGTATTTACATTTGTCTTCTGAATTCCCAGCCTTGCTGTTGGTTAGCAGGACATAGCATGTGGTGAGACTCCACTCAGCAGGCACAGCCCCAGCGTCATCAGTTGCTTGCTCCTCTCCCATCCCTCTTTCTTACAGTTTGTTACCTATCTTTAATCTGTAAGAAGTGGTACTTCTGTGCCAAGGAGACTGTGCTTATGTTGCTGCAACTGACTGACTCCGGAAATTCTGTTTCACAAGATCACTTGCGCTCCGATCAGGTAGTATCAAAAACTTTTCTGCTTCAGAGCTTTTATGAAAGTGATCTAATGTCATGGATCAGGCTTTATGAATTGAAAATTTATAATTGTTATGTTCTTGTGTGCTTTATATTCTTCTGTGCTTTTATGATGAAAATACTGAAATTAGCACTACAGCTGATCCAGTTGACACTTGTAGTTGGAGTTAAATAGGAATAGTCACAAGAAACTGTTACTCTTCTAGATCGGTTAGTCTGGCATCCTTCTGGAGCATTAATTCCACACTTTGCCTGACATGAAGTTTGGCTCAAAAGCATTTGATTGTGTTAGGAGAGTTTGTTTGATTTCAGAAATGTCTGCTGGTATTTGCCTTTCTCTTTGTACATCTTCAGTCTTGGATGTACTTGACTCCTCCTCAGGGAACAAGTAACTCCATAGAATCGTGATGCTGCTACAAATGCTATACCTCAGGCTCTGAAAATCCAACTGAAAAATACTCATTTTCCTATGTTACAAATTAGTTTCCCGTTTAAGTCCAGGGGTTTGTTTTCTTCTGTCAGTTCTTCCTTACTGCTACTGAGAAATAGTTTCATTACTGCTAAAGAATGATTCATTAGCACGTGGTTTGCATTTGTAGGAAGCCAGTCTCGTAGAGACCACATTCCTGATGCTTGTTTGTTTTACAGACTCAAATGCAGATGTTTTCCTTGTACAAACAAGTCAGAGGTGTCTGTCTGGGTCTGCCAGGCTGGGGGCTTAACATAACAACCCATCCCAGGCTGGCAGTGTCACTTCATCCATGCAGACTGTGTGTTGGCAGCAGCAGCCCTGTGTGCCACGCTTCATCTAATCACAGGCTTCTGTGCTGGGAGGGAGGGCAGTGCTGCCTGGAAGCCTTTGTTTTCAGAGGGTCATATCACATTGCTGATAAAGTTGAGGAAGGTAACATGCCAGATCTTGCACAGCATGAACTAATGCTTTGGTTCTCCTAGAAAAAGGGTTATTTGTATATTGAAAATTGCTGTTTTATTAGTGGGATTTCTTAGTGGCCAGCCAAGTGGGCACATCAGAATATAGAGGTGGGTAAGAGTCAGTTAAACACCACATCTGCTTTGCGTGTTGGTATTGCCCTGGTTTAATTCTCTGACACAACCATGCAGCACTGAAAAATGTCAGTGCAGGACCAGGGCAGTATCATGTGGCAGCAATAGGTCAGTTATGTTGTGAAACTGTACCTTTTCAGCAAGGTTGACTTAGAAGAGTAATGAATATGCTGCTTCTAGGTGTGGAGAGCCTGACTGTTTTTGTAGGAGTGATCATTGCTTGTTTTTCCTTCCAGGATTGTGTTGGTGTGCTGTCTGTACTGCATCACATCCTGTGATTCACCTGTAGCAGCATTAAAGAAGGCCTATGGCATTTCAGCTAGTGATTTGGACTGACAGCTTCTCTAGGAGAAAAAAAAAACCCAAACAACTCTTCCTATAGCTAGAACAGAAGGAGTTGTTTTCTGTGAGCAAAGTAGAGAGATGCCTTGGTGATAGCTCGTCTTGGAGTGCGGGAGGCAGAGCCCTTTAGTGTCAGAGGAGGTTTGAATGCAGAATGTACAGACACCAAACTTGCCCACATGCTTCCTAGCACAAATAGCAGTGGGAGACAGGCATTGCCAGCCCTCTGAATTCCCCTGGAAAAGGTCTGTTGTTTGGAGGACACCTGCTTTGTTTGAACTTTAGGACCTGAAAGGATTGAGAAGCAGGGTGAAGGTCTATCAGCTCAGCAGATGTCTGTTGTCTTGGTGGGCAGGAGTCTTTTTGTGCAAGCAGAGAAGTCTGTTTTCTTCTGAAATAAACTAATACATAAAATGAAGGAGAACTTGTTTGCTTGTACCCTTGTAGCATGACTTTAAATGTCATGTTGCAGTACTCTGATGGTGCTCAGGCTAGGATGGATTGTGCTAGTGCTTGCCAAGAGTCCACGTAATGCAAGCAGCTCTGCATGGAAACAGACCCTGTCACAGTAGTTTTCTGTCTTCCTCTCCACGCCGGTGTATAACTTTCTTCTCTACAGTGAAGGACTGGCAAAATGTTTTGTATTTTCCTCATACCCTTTGCTGTCACAGTTTGCCTGTATTTGCAGCCTGTTGCTTCTTCTCCACCTCAGTAAGTGGTATCTGTCTGCCCTGGAGTTCCTACTTTGCATTTTTGGTGAGGACCCGATGGCAGTCTAGTCTGGCCCTCCAGAGTGGTGGTGACAGTCAGGACTGGATGTGGGGCTTCTATGAGCCGTTAAATTAATCCAGTGCATTCTTGATTCCTTCCTCTCTGTGCTAGTGTAACAAAGTACATGAGTTAGTTTTTGGTACACCCCTACTTCATTCCAGCTTTTGTATTGCAGATGTACTGGCTCTGAGTATCATGTCTAGCAATTTAATGTGCATTGTTTATCACTGGGATATTTTACTGAGTTTGTACAATTTTGATATGAAAATCGTACTCCTAAGCGGAGTGTGGCTTCAAAATGTGCGAAGTTTGACCTTTTTTTTTCTTTTATTTTCCACCTAGGTATCACATGCTGTTGCAAAGCTAGTATTAGTTAGTTTCCACTGGCAAATCTCAGAGATTTTGGAAAGGTAAGTGTAAATAGTCTTATCTTGTCTTTGCTTAGTGCTTTCCCCCCTGGCTTTGCAAAAATGCTCAGGATGCTCCATAGGTGTATTTTCTGGCAAGTGTCTTTGGACCCGGAAGCAGGACATACAGTCCATTTTAGGGAGCAGAGGAAAACTAATCTGATAAACTGAAACTAAAAACTGATCTGTTGAGACTGCACTGCCTGTAAGAAATTTTTAAACAGGGAGAGGGTAGTAGTGATAAATGTCTTTCAGTTTAGAAATTATTGTTATGCTAGGAACCCTCTAGATAGATTTATCTTAAATTTTGAGGTAACAGATTGAGAGTGCTGCATCTGTATTTATTTAATACACATAAAGATAATATATTCTGCTTTGAACATAGGAGCCATAAATCATAAAGGAGTACTGACCCTATACTGATGTAGTCTTCGGTTGTACATTCACACTGAAGTTTTTGTTGACATTAAGTGATGTTTTTTTCCAAGCTGGCCAGCACTTGGAGACCAGGAGAAGATAATGTGAGAGAACTGAGCACTGCAGCTCCCTTGTTTGGTCAGTGTCACTGTAACAAAGCCTTCCAACTGATTTCAGAAAGAGGGTTCGGACTCGGCCCAAACATATGCGAGAAGTGCATTGGGAGGCGCTGCTGGCTGGCAGCCCCTCCACAAAATACTGGCTGAGAACTGAACATTGTCTGAAAATAGAGAGCGTATCAGCTTGACTCATTGTACCCAGACATTTTTGGCTCAGTAGCCAGCAACTTCATCCAGAGAACGTATGGAAAATGCATCCTGTGTATGGATGCTGTTGCCTCCTTGGTTACCCTGTGTCCTGTGAAAGCTTTTCTCTGGGGTTCAAGGAGGGTGAGATTCCTGCATAGCAGCTCAGGGTGATCATGCAGGTTAACTGATGAGACTTAAACATGAGGAAATTTGAGGAAGGGTTTACTTCTAAAATGATGAATTTGCAAATTGTTCTCCAGCCATCTAGTTATCCAACTGCTCTCTTGATACAAAATGACATTCTCAAAAGAAAGCTCACTAGTACAACTAAGTGTTGGTGAGGAGGGAGGACTTGCAGCAGGGCCACAACAGTGATGCTGCTGTTTCTGAATTCAGTGAGATACAAACATTCATCTGCAAAGGAAATCACAAACAGCAAAATGTGTTGCATAATTCCATGGCTGCTGATAGACAGCTTCATATGCCTAAAGGGTGGTAGAGTAATTGCTTAAATAGAAAATAGTCTGGAGTTTAAGTGAGACTTAACAGAGACAGCTTAATTTTACACAGGAATAGGAGACAGTCTGGAGCCTCAGGGGTGTGTGTTATTGTGGACAGTGGCTTAGGACTAGTCTAGGAGTGTGGATGGAAAATCTTAGCTTAAAAATAATTTTCAGGGGAGGGAGATAGTTGTAGAAAAACATTCATCAAGATGTATAAGGGAAATGTTAATCCATTACCAGGAGAAGTAGTATTTCTGGTTCCAAATAAACTCTCATTAAGTTTTGTTGATGGGAGCTCAGCTCTATATATGAAGGAGCCTCACACAGGAGATATTTCCACTTTCCTTGTTGAAACCTACCCTACTATTTGCACAGAGACAACTGTTTATTCAGGCAAGAAGGATCAATTTAACAATGTAAAATGTATTCAGAACTTGATTTGATCATTCTTCAATTGCCTTTTCAGGCACAAGTCTAATGCTGCCCAATTGCTAGTAGAAGCACGAGTTCAGCCCATCTCATCCAAACATGTAAGTATGCAAACTATCCGGTCTGTTCCCTTGGCAGACACATCTGACCCCCATCCCGGGGATTGCATTAGTAACAGCATACTCTGTCCAACGTTAACCCTTTACAAACTCAGGTCTTACACACTGATTCATTGCTGGATTTACTTCTGAAATGAGAATGCATTCAAGAGGTCTCTTATATTTTAGTAGCAGCTTTGCTGTTGGCTTGCAGGTAGTGTTCAAGAATTACTTTCTTCAAGAAAATTAGGATCATTTTTTGGCATGAGTGATGGCAGATGATGGAAGGAGCAGAGTGCATGGGCTTGGCTGCCTCTTTCAATTCTGTTCTCTGTAAAAAGTGACTGAAAGGAAGTTCTGGCAGCACAGAGTGAACAGAGCTTGTCTGTGTCTGGAACAGATTTTTAAAATTTTATCTTTTCTTTTAGCTTTTTTTACCTTTTTATCTATTTGCACTGCTTAGCTCAGGGATGCTTAAGCCAAATCTCCCAGTGAGTTGTGTTGCTGCTGAGTCAGTCAGTGCTGATATTTGAACCAACAACTTGTTTTTTGTAGCCAGGGCTACACAGATCTTCAGATACTTCCCCCCTCCCCTTTAAATAGAAACTTCCTGTTGCATGTTTATAGGTTTCATTCATGGTGGGTGTCTTGGTACAATGCAGAATTACCCTAGGAACACATTGCCATGTGTCAGATTTTGAGTGATAAAATACTGCATCTGGGTTGTGGGGGAGAGATGTTAAAAGCTTGATTTGGCATCTGAGCTCTCTTATAACTAGCAGATAGTGCAAAAGCTAAACTGACAGAAGTGTAAGCTTCATGGGCTCAAGTAATCTGCCTAAAGTCCAGAAAAAAAAAATTCTAAATTGATAATTACCTGCAAATTAGTCCCATGTATTTCAAGATTTATCCAAGTCTTGTATCAGCTGTTGCTTGAGTATTCCCCCTGCAATGGGCCATTCCAACCTCCTTGGCAGGCAAGGTGAAGACAACCGGCACATCATTTCAGTCAGGGTCCTGGGTTTGGACCAAACACTTTCCCAGCTTTAATTTACAGTAACTTTATATTCTGCTCTGAGGAGTTAGGAAGTGGTATAGGAATCTTTTTCGCCCAATGTGGCTACTCAAAACAATGCTTGATGCAAACTTCTATACATACTGCAAAACTGAGACAAAAAACATTACAAATATAAACATGACAAAACTACTGAGACAAAATGCATGCAAATAATTGATGCAGTGAAGAACAGTGTAACTCTTCAGTCCTGTTGCCACTTCCATCTGCTCATGGCCAATCATCTTCTCATGAAATACCTGTAAGAGGAGAGAAAACAGAAAACCCAGTCCCTCGTGGACTGGTTTTCAAAAGAAAGAACTCTCCATCTGGTGTTAATTTTGTGTTCTCTGCCACGGGCATCTGTGGCTACCCATGGGATCCCTGAGCTTTGCCCTTTGTACAGCAGTCTGAGTCTTCATTTGCAACAAATCCTACCTGCCATAGGTTACCAACTGTCCCCATGTTAAGACCAGGTCCTGCCTAGAGTCCATCCCCATGAGCAGCTCTAAGCAATTGAGTTGCCTAAAGCTTCAATGAGTCAGGTAGTCCTTTAATCAGGGAGTTTATTCTCTCTGGCTCAGCAAACAACAGCATGGGAGAAGACTGAAAGGTTGCAAGACCCCTCTCGTGTATCAGTTGGAGGCAAGCAGTCTATTGCACACTCTCAATGAGATTACCCTATGCTGGAGTGGGGATAGGGATGGGTTCTCCCCTCTCCAGGGGGTTTAAACCTCCTGCCCAATAGGCTGTCCTTTGAGTCAGAGACCAGGGCTCTCTGTCATTATGCGCTGTGAAGGACACTCTGGGACCCCAGGGTCCTTGTGTTTTGTCCTCCAACAGCTTTATGCTGTCTGCCCCAAACCATCAGTGAAATTCTCCATACATACTGTTTTGGTTTCCTTTGCTTGCCTGCTGTATTTTTCTTGCAGCTGAGCCAGCTCACTTGCAGAATAGGGCATTTGTTTAGTTGTTGCAGTGGGTGCTGCCTCCTCACACTCCCTCTCATAAGCAGCGTCAGTCTTTATGGGCAGAGTTTAGGGAGAGGTTGGGGTTCTGGCTTTGCTGTATCAAGCTCCTCCCAAGGATAAAGGCAGGTGACATCATCATCAGTAAGGTCCACCTCTTTAGTGAGTCTGGAAAGCCCCATCTCATTCTCCAAATCCTTCCCCTTCAAGCAGGCAATCTGCAAATGTAATTCTCTTTCTCTTACAAGAGATTTGTTTAGTCAAACGTGCAAGTTTTCTGTTAGTATCTTTTCAGCATTTAGCTCATTATGTGTTTTCTGCTGGGCACTGTGTTCTGCCTCCAAGGTCATCTGCAGTATTTTAGCCAATTCAAAGACCCATTCACCACCTTATCTCATTGCTTAGCTCTGTGCTTATCTCTTTGAACAACTATTAAAGCAGCTCCCAAAAGTGTGCAGACTATGGATTTTCCCTTACCAATTTTTCTTCTTTTTTGTTAAATACTGTATTTTTTCCACAAGGCCAGGCAGACATTGCTAATTTTCTTCAGCCCAGTTCTGTCCATTCAAAGCTGGACAAGTTTTATAATCTTTTAGCAAGTCTAGCTGAAGGTAGCAGTTGAGATTGTGCTTTTCCCAGGTTACCATGATGTCTCTGTTGGAAAATTCAGCTTCGACTAAATGACAGTTCTCCTTTGTCCAGCACTGTGTTGTCCCAGTAGAAAGTAGCTCCTCACCACTCTCAAGGACACCCTGCTCACTTCACCTGAAAAATTGTCACACCCTGAGCGCTCTCAAGTGCTTGAAAGGGATTTAGCTACTTTGCTACCCCTGGGCAGAGTGCAGGGGAAGACAACAAACTTCTCAGGAGGTTAAATAGCAAACTTTTACGTACAAACTTTGGACCATAAAGGACTTGGCAAATATTAAAGCAAGATCCAATTAAAGTAAGGCAAGGCACTGACTTAGCAAACTCTAATCCATCCAGGTTTCAAGAAAAGGAAGTTAGGAGAAGAAAAAGAAAGAAAGAAAGAAAAAAGAAAAAGAGAGAGAGGTAATGGTAACCACCTTGGATCCAGTCAATCTTAGCTGCTGTAAGATCCAAGGCAGTGGGACTCATCAAGGCTGCATACTGTAATTACAGCCTTTTTTCTGTTCTGATCCCTTGCCACAGGTGTGGCTTTCAGTGTTCCAGTGGCTTGGTCCACTTTAGGCCTGGACCAGAGGCTCCAGGCCCCAGTGGGTGGGATGTGGAGCAGTGGCCACACCCAAACACACACTTTAGTTGTTTTGAGCCATTAATAATTTCTCCAGTGTCCTAGAAATGGTGATTTTATTTTAGGAAGAAAGATACTATGGTTAAAAGGTTAATTTAAACTTGATTTTCTAGGCAATTCATTACAGTTTGTGTGTGCTAGAGCAAGGTGTTCTGTGCTTCAGCTTGTAATGCAGAATGATTCTGGGGACAGATGCTCATAGTGAGTGTCTGTAGAGGGACTGACCCCATAGTGTGAAACTGTAGTGGTGAGCTCAGAGAGGCAGCTTGTGAGGGTTTGAGGTGGCACGTGTGCTCTTCAGGCTGAGCAGCTGATCCAGGCAATCAGTGCAATTACAGACTCAGTGAATCTTGTTCTGGTCTGTAACTGAAGCCACTTAGAACAGATTTGCATTGCTTCCTCTTTCATGTGGCCATGCCATAAATCAAGTTCTGTCAGTCATGTGGCTGCATATCACGGGGCTGCTGCTCTGCATCTCTGGCAGGCAGAGATCGGTGTGGAAACTGATGGCAGGCTCACACCAGCTTCTCCACGAGTAGCAAAGTGGTTGCAAAGTGATTATATGACTTGTCTGTGAAAGGAAAAACTGGAACATAAACTGCAGCTGACAGCTTTGTAGAGCCTTGGTTTTGATGATGCCGAGCTAGACCTAGTTCTGCAGGTCCCAGGGGTGAGTGGAGATGTGTTGCAGGCTAGATCTGTTGTCTGGGGATCAGCTTTGCACTACATAGGGGGAAACCAGACTACTTTCAGTGGTTTGGTGAAGCAATAGCAGTTATGCCTGATTTGAAACAAGCCCTCTTAATCCTTTTCAGCTGAAGGGACGATGCCTATTTTGCCAAATGTAGCATAGGCAGAAGATAAGAGATGGGAGGTGATAGTTTGTGAATTCCCTTTCCTCTCTGTATAAACACTCTACAATTGCGTCTCCCATTACCCAGAATTACTGTCTGGTACAAGGGCAGTGCTAAGTCTGTTTGCAGTGACAGCTGCTCTCCAGAGCCTGTGGAGATAGTCTGGCCCAGCTAACAAAGAATATTAGTAAATCCAGGCAAGGACTAACACAATGACATATTTCAACCAAGGTGAGAGTAAGAACCAGAAAAGTAAAGGTGAGTTCTGGGTAGCAACAGAGGAGAAGCAGAAACTCTTCAGCAACTGTTAACTTGTGCACTGTGGGATTAGAGGTTCTTGGGAAGGACTGACTGTTTGGGGCAGTGCAGCACCTTAACACACCAGCTGCTTATGAACCTGCTCTGGCCTGGACCTCTGTGGAGACCACTGTCACAGTGAGGGTGGGGCAGGTGTCTGTGGATGAGCTGAAAATGCTCTAGGAGGTCTGGGACGCTTTCACTTTGATTTGTTTCTCTCCCAGGCAATGGTACATTCCTCCCACCACTGCGCAGTGTGCATGCAGTTTGTCCGGAAGGAGAACTTGCTCTCCCTGGCTTGTCAGCACCAGTTCTGTCGCAGCTGCTGGGAGCAGCACTGTACAGTGCTCGTCAAGGATGGTGTTGGAGTTGGTGAGTTCAAGGTGGATGTGGTGCTGGGTCTGTATTTGCCCCACTGGCCATGCTGATGAGTCAAGAGCAAGATTGTAACAAGTTAGAAACTGCAAATCTGTTGAATAGAATTTGCATCTGTGATGATGGACTGTTGCAATGCCCCTGGAGTGCTTGTGGATGCAAGCATCTGTTCCCTTTGTGCTGGGGAGAAGCCAGTAGTTGCCAGAGTTGCTTTGGGCTTTTCCCAGCCTGTCTTTCATGTTGGCATGGCAGTAACTTGTAATTTTCTAATTTAAGTATCTGACCTTGTTAATGCTGGTTGAAGCACTCACTGGTCCTGGATACACATGTGCCCTGTCATCTTTTGGTGAAGACAGTTGGGATTCAGCTTTTCAGGAGCCCAGATTTGTTTCACAGTTGTATCCCTCTTGCCACAACAACAGATGGCTCCAAGGAAACTGTGTTCAATACTCTCTGTGCATTCACCCCTTAGTATAAGTTGCACTGTTCTGAGATGTTGGTTTCTCTTCTCAGGGGTGTCCTGCATGGCTCAGGACTGCCTACTCCGGACACCAGAAGACTTTGTGTTTCCATTGCTGCCTAGTGAAGAGCTGAAAGACAAATACAGGCGCTACCTCTTCAGGGACTATGTGGAGGTAGTAGATTTTTTCAGTTTTAAAATACCGTGGGTCAAGTCACCAATGACTTGCAGAAATTTTGTTTGAAATGTCTTGCATTTTTGATTAGAACTGCAGTAGCTGCAGCAAAATTTCCTCAATAGGCATGATGTGGCTGCTTCTGTAAGACAGCCTCACTGACAAAATGCTCTAGCAGGTTGCCAGAGTAAATTCTGCTGTAAGGTCATCCACTAACTCCTTGGCTGGTGCTTCAAAATCCTCAGTGTTGCAGCTGAGAATTTCAAAACTTCAATCTGATTATTTAAGTCCTTCTTGTTCATACATAAATATTTTTAGGTTCAGAAAAATAGGTCCCTCAGCTTAGGTTAGCCCAGCCAAATTGGCTTGCTCAATTACATTTTATGTGAGCTTTCTTGAAATTAAAGCAGCAGTTGTTAAGGTTAAATATGCAGGAGTATTCTGATAAGTGGGAACAGAGAGGGAATACTAAAAAAGCAGCAAAGCAGTATAAAAGCATGGTTTCACCTCAATAAGAGACCCTTTGGGAAGAAATGGCCAGCACAGGAGAGCAGCTGAATAGCTTCTGGGAAATAAGGAGAAGATGGGGAAAGAGCTCAAAAGGAGTAAAATTGTTTAGTGTCTTTGTGGGGTTTTGTTTGTTGTGCTGACTTAGCCTGTAACTGTGCATTTGAATTCCCCCTAGAGAAGCTGAAAGTAACTAACAAACCTCTTCCATGTTAGGAGATGCAGGGTCTGCTCTGATAGCCAAGACCTGGTGACACTTTCCACTCTTTTATAATACAAAATAACTGCCTTGTATGTTTTTGAGGATAGGAATGGTTAAAGTTGAACAGATAATGGTCTCCTGCACCCAGTGCTGATCTTACTCCCTTGTTGTGTCCACAGAGCCATTACCAGCTGCAGCTGTGTCCTGGTGCAGATTGCCCTATGGTCATACAGGTACAAGAGCCAAAAGCCCGGCGAGTGCAGTGCAATCGTTGCAATGAGGTCTTCTGGTAAGAAACAGAGAAGCTTACAGATTACAGGGAAAGTGTGTGCTGTCCTCAGAGTCAATCCTTTTGCTTGCCAATAGTTTTGGTGTGTGGAAGTATCTGAAATGCTAGAGTTGTTTGTAACTTGAGCTAGCCTGAGTAATTGGACACTTGTGATCTAACTTCTGCAGGTGGTCAGACATCCTCTTGTTTCTTAAACTCCTGGGAACTTGGGTGTTCTGACAGCAGAGGACACAGAGCTTGAGTAACTAACGGGTTACAAATCTACCATTCTCACATTTTGGCTAGGTTAGGCTATGTTATTTTCCTACACTCTGTTTGATACAGATTCTGGTAGTAAACATGGAGTGCTCCTTGCTTTCTGCTGGTATTGAGTGTTTAAGTTTATTAAAAACATTTGACTCCCTTAGAGTCAGAGAGACTCAGCTTTCTGGTATCTCCATGCAAATGGCCCTTATTCACCTGGGGTTGTCAAGTCATGCTAATACAGGTGCCTGATACCTGCCACTGGGGTCAAGCTACTTATAAGTGACTGGTCTACCCCAGAACTCTGCTGTCATGTAGATAGACAGCATAGAAGATACATAGGTAGGCTCTAGGAAGGGACACATCAGCCCTCAGACATGTGATTTCTCAGGCCTGAATCCACTTTCATCCGACTCTGGCTTTTACACAAGAAGGGGGAATTGGAGTTTAGTCTTGGTCTTCACACTCTACTAATACACAAGAGCATTTCCATCCCTTACTGGGGCCTCCAGATTTTGGTCAGGAAAACCTCAATCCTTGAGTCATTTCTGTAGAAATTGATATGTCTTTTTCTTTTTTTCTCCCCACTATTAAGCTTTAAGTGTCGGCAGATGTACCATGCGCCCACAGACTGCGCTACCATTCGGAAATGGCTTACCAAGTGTGCAGATGACTCTGAAACAGCCAACTACATCAGTGCTCACACTAAAGATGTAAGGACAGGCACCTGCATGTTATTTCTTGTCCTCTAGCCCTGCCTGGAAAGCAGGATATAATTCTGTGCACACGTAGCATTGTGTTCTTCTTTTTCACAGACTGCAAATTCTCACAGCTCCCTAGGGACTGTCAAGAAGCTTCTGTCAGAAGCTACTGTCATATGTGAACTAATTTTGTCCCTATGGCAGTGATAGAACTCAGCTGAATGCTTTGGGAATGCTTTGTGTAGGAAGCTCAGCTGCCCTCCTGCAGTAAGGACCTGGTGGTCCTTATTCCAGACCTGGTGTGAATGTCTTTGACTGCCAGGTGCACTGTCCTCCCACAGGCAAAAGAATTGTGGCTACAATGAAATGATCAGTGGAGGTGTATTTAAAATGCAAGAAGAGGGTGTCATAAGTGCAAAGTCAGTACTATTCCAAGATTTGAAGTCTTAATGTCTTTTTGGAATTTTGTGGCCTCACTTCAAAACAGTTCTTGGCTACATTTGTGCTACCATGCCCAGTGGCAATTGTGACAGTAGTGATTAGCTGCAGTTATGTTAGGAAAGGAGGTATTTAGATGGACCAGGGATCTCAAGTTCCCTTCCTTCTCTGGAGAAGATGTCAGCATGTGATGGTATTGTTCCTGCCATGCTTGTTTATAGAAATAAGACTCCATTTTATTGAGCACTGTCCTGGAACACATTTTGCCTGACATGAAAATTTATACAAAGTAGCAAAACTCACTTCCTCCTTTTTACCTATGCAGCTCAAAAAATGTGTCTGGACACCTGGGTATCTGTAGAGTGAGGGTGTGTGCATCTCTTGTGGTTAGGCAAATTTTCTGCAGGTAGCTGAGACATCATTTGTTAGTGGCTGCTGAAGGCAGAATATAATGACAATTATCTGTAGTCAAAGTAGGTGTGATACACTGTCATACATGAACTAATTGTGTCTCTGTGCCTGAGTAAATGCAGAGTGGTAACTCAGGAAGACCTTCAGTTTTACAAGGAGTAACAACAGTAAATTTGTTCTCTTGAGCAAACAGTCCAGTGCTGCAGTGTAGCTTCCTAATTTTGCCTTTCTGCTGTCTTTTAAATGGAGCTGTCAGGAACTGGTGGGAAGCAGGATATAAATGCTAATATTCTCATATGAGAATATTTCTCATACATGAATGCATATTTTTAAGAAAAAAAGGCAGAGAGAAATAATGACACAAGTGCTGTCATTCTTCAGAAGGCTGTTAGAGTTGGATCTAACAATTGTGTGTTTCCTCAGTGTCCCAAGTGCAATATCTGTATTGAAAAGAATGGAGGCTGCAATCACATGGTGAGTAATTCCCTGAACACGTCAAACCTCCCTTGTTCTAAGTGGAATTTTTTTCCCACACTTTCTGCTAACCAAATGCTTCTCGTCTCTTCTTTTTCAGCAATGTTCCAAATGCAAGCATGGTAAGTTGGGCTTGGAAGCTGTTTTCTCTGCAATGTTTGTAAGTGGTAATGATCCCTTCACTTTTTTTTTATGATTTTAAGATAAATTGTGAACACAGGCTGAAATATTTTCCCCCTAGTAAAAGCTGAACAGGATATTAATTACAGATTTCTGTGTGATAGCTTTTTTTCCCCACTGGCTGTGATCTCAGCTGTGTTCTGATTCAGTGCTGGTTTGGCTTCTGCCCCTGACATGTCTATTGGATAGAGAAGTCTCCAAAATATTAACAGTGGAATCCATATCACAGGAGATCTTTCCATGTAATTGTATTTGTAATCAGCTGAAAATATTGTCAAACATAGCCATTTGCTCAGATCAGTTTAAGTCCTTCTGCTTAGTGATGGAAATAATGAGCTTCAATCCAGGTGAAACTGCAGGAGCTGTGAACTGTTATATGTAGCAGCAGGTGTCGAACTTCTCAGTCTACTCCTGTGCAATTAGCAGCCTAAGTGTCTCTGACCCTTTCTGTGGCCCTTCAAAATGACAACATGTTCTTGCACTTACCTTTTCATGGCAGAATTAATTTCTGTTGCCTTGGAGTGAGATAGCTGTATTCAGCCCTCTGAGTTAAATGTACCACTAGAAACTATTGTAATACCAGCACCTTATTGGGAAGGTGATTAAAGATGACTGTCCTCTCTCATTTTCTTCACTTTGGGGTTCTCAGCAGCACTGGATGTGCTTTGATGGAGCTCAGTGACAAGGGGGAGCAGGCAAGTGCCAAGATACCATGGTGACTTAGCACTTGAGAAGGTTGATGAACTCAGGAATTACAGATTTCAGTCTCGTTATCATAAGTAACACAGAAGGGATTCTTATTGTAGCAACTTAATCTCCATCTTTTTTCCTTCACATCAGATCACTCACAGCCTCACTCCAAAATCAGAAAATTGTCATGTTTTGCTATTTTTACTATTGCTGTCTTTACTCTGCCTTCTTCCTATTTCAGCAGCTTCTAACTCGAAGTATCATAAACCACTGACATCTGACATTGCCTGGGCTGTTCCCTCCTGGAGAGAACTAAAGGCAGACTTTCTTTTGCATTACTTAGCTCATTTTAGGATCTGGTTGTTTGTGTTTTATTCAGAGAGAGGTTTGTATGGGGCAGTGTGCCCATGGTGGGGAGGGTGCAACTCACAAAAGAGACTGGCAGCCTCTTTAACCCAAAGTTAAAGACAGTATGTGTGCAGGGTGAAGTGCAGTTCTGCCCAGTGGTTTTGGTGTACAGGATGCAGAACTTCAAGGTTTATTTTCCATAGTTAAATGAGAGGCTGTGCAATTAAAATCTTCAAGACAGGCTGGTATTTTTGGCTCACTGTTGAGTTCTGTTTTGCAAGATGATACAAAACGTGTGTGTTTCTTGGCTTAGCAGAAATGTCTGAAAACAGATGGGCTCTATCTCCTGAAGCTTTTCTTTCGCAGAGGTTTTTTTCTGTGCATCACAGTGGGTTTTTTGCTGTTTTCTGCAGACTTCTGCTGGATGTGTCTGGGAGACTGGAAGACTCACGGCAGCGAGTACTACGAATGCAGTCGGTACAAAGAGAATCCTGATATTGTAAACCAGAGTCAGCAAGCACAGGCCAGGGAGGCCCTTAAGAAGTACTTGTTCTATTTTGAGAGGGTAGGAGACATCTCCTTGGCCAGAGCTGCTGTAGCCTTTTAATGCTCCCTGCCTGGTGCAAAGGTCATTGCCAGCAATCTCCGTGCAAGAAACTGCCCAAAGAGAATCTGTGCAGAATTTTCAGGCCCTGTTGTTTTTCACTCAAAATCCTGCCCTGAAAGTCCCATCCAAACCAGTGATGTCATACCCAAAGCAAATTGTATTCACTCCCGTATTCTCTTGTGCTAGAGAAAATCAGTATTACTTGTGTGCCACTGTACCATGTACCTGCAGGCTGAGTGCTACTGCAGTAGATAGATACTGCTCCAATAATTTCTTTTCAGGACTTGGGATCTCCCTTTCTCTGCAGTACGTCTTTATACAGATAAAAACTAAATAAATTCTACCATATTCAAAGCTCCATTTGCTATAGCAAGGGTTTACTAAAATTTCATGTAATCACATTTTTAAAAGTTGCTATCAGCATCTCTGTCCACACAGCAGGTTCCATGCACCTGGCCGTGCAGAGCAACTCTACAGCAGCATCTCTAGAAGAGAATGTGGTAGAGGTTAAATACTGCTGTGTTCAGTTTCCCCATTAACATGAGTTTGTGCTTCACAGCATGAGCCAAGTCCTGTCATAAAATAAATGTCTTCATTCCTGTCTCTCCAGTCCAACAGGCTTTGGGAAATAGCCATGTTTAAAATGTACACGTGGATATTGGAGTTCACTCAGCCCATGTCAAATGTTAACTTAAACTCTTGGCCTTCCTATAGAGATCCTTTAAGTAGAGGAATCACCACGACTTTCCCCCTTGTTAGACACAAGGTCACTGTGTGACCAGAGAGCATTCCCACTTGGAGGAGCTGGGTTTGCCCCTGCTCTTGCTACTGTCAGTCTGTTGTGTACAGCCTCCACCACTTGTTACTGAAGGTGCTGCCTTGCCATTCTTTCCCACAGCATGTCTTGCCTTGCTGGACTCCTGCCTCACTCCAATTTCTGCTTGCTAGTGCTTGTGCTTTTACAGCAGTAGTACTCTGTTCTCATGCCGTTTTTTTCTTTTCCCTCTCTCCTCACCCCTTCCAGTGGGAGAATCACAATAAAAGCCTACAGCTGGAGGCACAGACATACCAACGAATCCAGGAGAAAATCCAAGAAAGAGTTATGAACAACTTGGGAACATGGATAGATTGGCAATACCTACAGAATGCTGCAAAACTACTTGCAAAGGTGGGTAATTGTGTCTTGTTTAGCACAGAGAAGAGACTATATGCCAGAATGCTAAATTCATAACATCAAGTAAGGAAAGGAATTTAAGAGTTGTGGTTATGTGGGACAGTACTTCTGGTCTAGGACGTGAACTAACCAAAAATCATCTAGAAGTGACCTCTGTGAAGTCATACTCCACAATACACAGACCTGCACAAGTTCTTCCAAGGAAGGTATAGGAAATTCTACCAGGAAGTGTTCAGTTGTCAGGAGGTAGCTTCTTAGCCTGTAGTGATCACATAAATGTGACTGTGCTGACTTCCAAGACTGAGACTCTTGTCCTTTTCTCTCTCTCTTCCTCCCACTCTTGGACAGTGTCGTTACACCCTGCAGTACACATATCCATATGCCTACTACATGGAGTCTGGTCCCAGAAAGAAGTTGGTAAGATGCTCTGCTCTTTTTTTGCTGATGACTTTTTGGGATATAGCTGGCAGCATGCTGGGCTGAATTCCAGAGCTGGGCAGTGTCTGAAATATTAGTCCTGAGTTTGATGTAAGGACAGGATAAATAGGTGGGTTTGCACCTTTCTTCCTCACTTCAAGTTGACCAGCAGCTCTGTCCTCTTATACATTACATTATTTTCCCAGGGGACTTCACTGCACTTTCACTAACAAGCCATTTATCCAGAATGTTTTGAGGCTGGAAGTGTGCTTTTATTTCTTGGTAGGATTTATCACAATGCTGTGGGTCATATTTCCTGTGAAGAGCTGCTGGAGGAGAGCTTTTCCTTGGATCAGGAAAATAATAGGAAAATAATAAAAATAAATAATAAAAATAAAATAATAATAAAAAAGCTTTGCTTTTTATTCCTGCTATAAGTTCCTCGCTGGCTTGGTGTATCTCATGGGCTGAAAAAGTACAAAAATAACCTTGAATTCAGTGAAGAGGTTTTCCTTTGACTCAGCTGTCCTGTAAAACCTGTTATAGAATCTTTCTTCATGGCATCATGTGTTCTCTAAGGCTGTGGATAGATGTTCTTTTCTGGATCTGACTGTGCCAGTGGAACAAGTTGCTGCTCCCAGCAGTGGTTAACAGTCCCTCCATTTTGCCTGCAGTGCTACTTACAAGAGCATTTTGTGACCTGTTTATGTCAAAATAAGTTGAATTAGGATGTATTAGTCAAGTGTAGTGTTTTTAGGCCGACTGGGTTAATTTTGAGTGATGCACGTTGGGGTGTGCTCACACAAGAAATGCCCGAAAGGGGTGATCCTATCTAGGTGAAGGTGGATAAGGAGGAGACACAAACCTGCTCTGCCACCACTGCTGTCAGCAGAACACATTTGTCTGCTCCTCAAGCGTAATGAAACTGCTCCACTAAATTAGTTTTTTGTTGATGTCTCTTATTTTGCTCTTTGCAGTTTGAATACCAGCAGGCCCAGCTGGAAGCTGAAATTGAAAATCTCTCATGGAAGGTGGAGCGAGCAGACAGCTATGACAGAGGGGTGAGTGTTCTGCTTGCTTGAGCCTGTTGGCCAGATTTTGTTTGTTGGGAGCAGCTCTAAGTGCATGAGCACTAAGGCTGTCAAGTGAGGGTTCTGAGAAACTAGATCCAGAAACCATCTTTAGCCAGCAGATGATGTAGAAGCAGAGTGCCCACTGCCTTATGGGAGAAGAGGGAGGGCTTCGGGGATTCCTGTAAAATGAAACAAGCCCCACGGAGCTCTGGAGGAGACTGCAAGCAGCCTTCTGGTGAAAAGCAGGTTTCTTAAGTGTGTAGCATTTTAGACAGAGCAGAGGTAACTGCAGAGGGAGCTCAGATAAAAAGGAAAAAGATCTGGGGTCTTGTAATCCAGAGTGTGCAGGAAGTGTGCAATGGTTGGTGCTTCTCAAGCTGGAGTTCAGTGTCTCCCTGAGGAAAATAAGGTCTTCTTCAGAGATTTTATGCTAACAGTTTGTACCTTCTCTTTTACCAGGATTTAGAGAATCAAATGCACATAGCAGAGCAGAGACGGAGGACCCTGCTGAAAGACTTCCATGACACATAAGAGAGGAGGAAGTGACAATGCAGGGGTGAGAGCAGCGAGTGAAGTGATGTCAGCTTCACTGGGATAAGCAGGCACTGCCTCTGGGAGAACATGGCCAAGGACAAAGCCACCCCTCCCCTTGCAAGTCAGACACATGCAAACACCACCTCTTAGTCCAGTTTGTTCTCTTATCTTTCTGTTTCTGTTTCTGCCAGGCTAGAGGCCAGAGCTCAGATTGGCATATCCTGGGCCATTTTCCTCCTGCCCTTGATGGTTTCAGAAGAGGAGGGAGTTTTTTTCTGAATGGCTGTTAATAGTGTTAGATCATTACAGTTTATGTAATTTTCAATGGTTGTACAATTATACAGACAAACCTTAGAATAACACAGAACCCTTTTTAAAAATAAATTGGCAGTGGAGTGTTTTTCCTTAATCTGCTTGTAAATTTAATGGGCTTTTCCCCCCCTCTCCCTTCCTCTGACCCAAAAATCCTCCTAGTCACTAAAGGAGGTTAAAAAATATCTTGGCTAGATTTTCCGATGCTCCTTTAACCAGGACGTTGCAGCATTGGCATTGCATGAGGAGAGTGGCTGGTGTTAAGGGTGGCTGCTGCTGTGTCTGGCCTGACAGTACTCACAGTGGCCATGATTCAGTATGATCACATGTGACATCTCTTTTTCTTGTAAATCAGCTGTGCAAAATCCAGCTATACAAACAAAAGAAAACAGAGGAATTGCAGGGGACAGACTGGGTTAACATTGGGGGATATGCCTTGAGTTTGAGAGAAATCAGATTCTGCATTTGATGAATTTTAGGTCTTCCATGTAGATTTTTGCTTTACTTGTTTTTGTGGGGAGGATGTTGTATTGCCAAAGTGAGTGATGAGGGAGTAGTAGCATACAGTTGTTAATCAAGGCTTGGGGCTTTTGCAGAGTGAAAGAAAGAATCCATGTTATAACAGTGCCATGCAGCCTGATAAAGATTATTTGTGCCTGCTGGGTAGCATGGCTGAGAAAAATTGATCTCGTTCATCAAAGTGAGACTAAACACCACTACATTATGAGGAAAAAAGATTATGTACGACACACTCCCTGGCACGTGTTGGCAATGTGGACAGGCACTTGAATACAGGTGCACTGCTTGTGCAGAGCCTGCACCAAGCCAGGCAGAAAATTACCTAGCAAAATTAATTTATTTGTATATTAGTATTGATGCTGGTGGGAACTTATCAGAAAATTGATTGTTAGGAGCATGTGGAGCTTTTTTATTAACATTCTCTTTTCTAATGTAAAATATACACTAAAATAAAAATATTAAAACCTAGTTCATCTTAGTAGGGGTTAACATGAAAAAGGTTACTTAAATGCTGACTCTTGCCTGTTTGCTACAGGAAGCAGGCCACTTTATAGGATTTCAGATATCTGTGTCACTTGCACCAGGAGCTTGCTGTTTGCAGCCGGTAAGGTGCAGCTGGAGTCTGATCTGAGGAAATTTTCACCTCTGTGGGGAACTCTTGGGATTCTCTTCTATGCTGTATTTGGAAGTGTTGCCTTTGATGCATCCCTGTATTGTTCTTATGCAATGTCACTTGATAAAGATTAAACTGGAGGGGGGAAAAGTGCTAAATCCCTGTGTGTCAGAATAAGCTAACTGCTGTTTTAACCTCTTTCATGTACCTGAGACATGTGACCCAGGTATTTGCAGCAGGTGTAATTGGGCTCATAGATTTTATCAAGACTGATGCTTTAGTTTAAACAAGGAGTAGCTGTCACAGGAGCTAATCCTGTGGCCATGCTTGTTGTACACAGCAGAAAATTTCAAACTGAGAGGCCTTTTCCTTCCTCCCTCCCATCCCTGGTGTGGGATCTATCCTCAGGGAACAAGGGGATGCGCTGCGAGGAGCTGCTGACCGTGGAGTGAGTGTTACAGCAAAAGCAGCTGGGGGTTGGGCAGGCTTGTGGAGAGATGGCTGGAGTCAGGGAGCAGGGAAGGGGTCTGTGGTTTCTGGGAGCAGCGCTGCTTGCTGTGCAAGAGATCTCCATAGCCATGGCTCCTTGCATTCCTGCTCTGTCCTGTTCTGGCTCCCCTTGAGGCTGGAGCTGTAGAGATAGATTTGACCTTTCTCCAGCCACTGTCTCTTGACTTCATTTCTCACTCTGCACCCAGCAGCAGCCTCTCTGTGCCCTCCTCGTGATATATCCTAGAGGTCAGTCTCTCTTCCTCTCCCCTTCCCAAATGTCTTGGCATGCTGCTTCCATGGGAAGGGATAGTGGAGGAGGGAAGGTTTGCTGAGACACAGCAGTTTACAGTGAATACAACCAATGCTTAAACTATTATTTAAAAATGTAATGTGCAAAGTACTGATGAGGATAAAAGCTGGTGTTCGTGTTGTCTAAACATAACTATCTTAACACCTAATGCCTTTGCAGAACATGTACGTGGAGTTTCCTAATCCCAAAGAATTTTCACTTCTGTTACGTAATTGTCCGGCTTTGAGCTAAGTGAGAATGAGGTTTTGTCTCTCTCCTTCCCTCCTTCCTTCCCTCCCTCCCTCCCTCCCTCTTCTGTGCCCCCACAAAATATTTGCTATGAATCCTTGTTTGTAGACAAGCCAGACCATATAGCTGTGGCCAGGCTTACTGAACAGGCTGCTGAGATGCTTGGCTGAGGAACAGGAATAAGGATTGCACAGTGCACCCACTAATTCTTTCAAATTTTCTGAAACTAGAGCTTTGTCAACAGTTCCATTTCTTTTTAAACAAAACATCCTTTCTGAAAGTGGTGAAAGTCCTGGGTTGCATCCACAGATCCTATTTCATACTTTGGGAAAACAACAGGACTTGGTTTTGCAGTGCAGGCAGGACCACTTCTGTACAGAAAGTCATGGACTTCAAGATGAAATGTGCAAGGCACAGGGGCTGCTGGCTGTGTGTGTAAGGTGAATGACACTGCTCAGGAGGCAGGTGACAGGAAGGAAATGAGGATTCTCAGCACCACAAGAAAAGGCCATTTTCCCCCCCCTGTAATAAGTACATGGTCCTCTTTGTGTTAGCAAGGTTATATGGATGTAGGTAATAAAAAGTGTGGCTCAGGAGCCATTAATTCTGAGGTACAAGTTTCCCTTTGATGCGTTACTGCTACAGACGTGGAATATTTGCTCTCTTTTTTCTTTTTTGCACTTATTTCCAGCTCCTGCGCCAGCCCACCACCTCTCCATCCTTGCATCTGGTACTCTTTTTATTTGGGCTTTGCTTGTGTTAGTGCATTGGCTGCCTCATCTCTGTTCGTCCTCAGGCTTCCCAGACTGTAACAAAACGTTTTTACTGACACCATAAACTGCATGACTGCTGCCCTGTGCAGCGAAGTCTCTGTGCCCGCCCGCAGACGGGGCAGCAGGAGGTTTCTGTACTATAGTCTTGCACTCTAAATTTTAGACTTTTTAAGCAGGTGAAAAATAGAACTTTATTTTTAAATGAGGCACTCGTTCTGGGAATTCCTTTCTCGGCCTCGGTCTGGTTGGGGTTCTGGGACAGCGTTGAGGTATGTGGGTGGGCACAGGACTGCTCCCACCCCTCGCTTTTCTTCGCAGGCACCAGAGAGGGGCAGGGGCGGCGGAAACCGCCCGGGAGACGGTTGCCAGAGGTGTGCCCGTGGTTTATTTGAAATAAATTGTGACTTTCTAACTTCGGCGGTGTCCTGGCTCTTCTTGGCAGTGAGATGGGGAGGGGCGGGGGGGCTGGGCTCGTGTCGCTGGCCCCGCCCGCGGCCGCTGGCCCCGCCCCGCGGTGACGCAGCGCCCGCCGGGCCGTTGCCGTGGTGACGCCGGGCCGGGCGGGCCGGGGCGATGGCGGCGGCGGAGGTGCGGGCCGAGGGGCCCCCGCTGCCCGGCCCGCCGGGGGGCCGTCCGCGGCCCGTCTGCTCCCGCCCCTACTTCCTCGTCCTCATGATCTTCGCGCACCTCTACGTGCTTAACGTCCTGGGGCTGCTGCTCTTCGTGCACCTCAGTGCCGGCGAGCCCGGCGGGCCGCCCGCCGCCCCCCCGCCGCCACCACCGCCGCCCGCCCGCGCCCTCCCACGCCTCGAGGGCATCAAGGCAAGGCCGCGACCGGGGGCCGGGACCGGGGCCACTGACCGCTGACCGCTGACCGCTGCTCTCCCCGCAGGTGGGCCACACGCAGCGGGTGGAGCTGGTGCCCGGCAGGGCCCACGCTGTGCGCACCCTCAGCCTCAAGCCGCTCCTGTTCGGTGAGTACCGGCCCCGCCGGGGGCAGCTGCTGCCGGGCCCGGGCGAGCCGGTAGCGGGGGGGTTTCCGCCCTGACGGCGGAGCGGGGGGGTGTGTGCGTGTCTGTCTGATACCCCACGCTGTTTTACACCCACTCGGGGGAAAATTACTTCCCGCGTGTTGGCATCACCTCCCCGTACTGCTGTTCCTTGGGGCTGCGTTAAAGAGTGTAGTGTCGTTTAAGGTATGTTGATGTAAAATTCGCAGAGGTTACGTATTCTGGATGGCCCACTTTGAAGAATTTGGAAGATTAACCTTTCTAGGTTTTTCAGGTTCTCTGTAAAATACTAGGAATAGACAGCAGATCACTGGCAAGAACCTTGAAGAAGCTGCTCAATATAAGGAAAGGACAAGAGATATCCAAACTTTTGCTAAATTATGAATAAGCAATTTAGTATTGATGCTTCAACACTGAGGAAATGAGTAACAGGAGAATTGATAGTTTTAAAGTCTTCCACCATCTTGTGTCCTGTTCTAGATTTATCTTTATTTTCAGCTTCTCTGATACACAACCACACAACACTTGCCTTTCAGATATTTTTACCTCTTCTTTACCTTTCTGTCATGTTTTGCTGTCACTGGTCAAGACTCACTAATTGAACTCAGTGTTCTGGAAAGTCACTGACAATATGCTAAATAATTTGAGGGGGGGAATCAATCATTACAAAATTCCTACTATTTCAAAGTCAGAGAAAACCTGTTGTTTCTGAAAAGACAGCATAGAGAATCTTTCAGATGCTTTCTCAATTATATAAATAGAGATAAATATATTTTTTTCTTTTTATAGATAGATCATATACACTGAAAACCTCACCATTAATTTCTTAGTGGATTTCTGTCTGACATTCACTAAACAGACACAGTAACCTGGAGCTGATAACCCCATAACATCACAAAACTGTTGTCATTACCAGGACCATAGTCTGTGGCAATTGCTCTGGTTTTCACTCAGGAAAACTCCTCTTTCCCTGCCTTTCTAGTACCACTGAAGTGGAACAGTTTGTCCTGGCTAGCAAGGAAGCTGCTGAAGATGATAAAAGGCAGGTTTGTCCTGGCAGCAGTAATCCTGCAGTTTTCCGTTTCTTGTTCCAGCACTTCCATTGGTTTTGAGGAAAGCTTTGCTCCCTGAGGATGCTATCACAGACTGTGACACTTTCACCACTTGAGATGCCATGAGTGTGTTCTCCTTTGTCCTCCGATAAGGAGTCCCTTATTTAGAAACTGCTAGTTGCAAGACAGTTCTTATCTCCTGGATGAACTTGCCAGGAGCCAGCTCTGACTTTAAAAGACTTCCAGATACTTCTCTATCTATGCAAGCAGTACCAATCTAATTCAACTGGTTTAAAAAAAACAACTTAATTCATTGCATCTTTGTTGCTTAAATTAGTGGAAGTGTGTATTTAATTTAGTTGTGTTTGGTGAATACAGAAGCCCTTAGCAAAGACTCTTGAGTTTCTGGGGATTTAATACTAAGTGCTGCAGCATACAAGAACCAGTTTAAGGAAACACTGCCTGGTCTATCATCTTTCCTTTCAGCAGAGCAGGCTGCAGTGGGACCACAGCAGCAGACACTCATGAATTATTTACTGTGTTCTCTGGGCTTTAGAGCATGGGCTGTGCACCATAGGGGAACTTTAGGTTTTCGTTTTTAATTGTAGATAAGTCACATCTGCATGGAACCCAAGTGTATTTTATGGAGCTATGAAAAAATCCCTGCCCTATTTTTTTCCCCCCTCTGGCTACAAGGCATCATTTCTAAAGCTTGTAAGTCAGACCATCTGTGCAGTTTTCAGTTGGGAAACACTAGTAATCAAATAGCCCTACTAATGGAAAACAAATCACACAAAGCCTTTTCAACCTTCAAGAGCTTTTATGTGTTCTTTTTTCCAAACGCAGTCTGTTCAGAAGATACTGCTGTTGCAGGGACCACCTGACAGCAGATTCTGTGGATTGGGCAGCAGTTTCTAAGAAGACAGTGGGGAGGAATAAAAATAGGAAATTTGGCTATGTTTTTCTTCTGAGCCTCGGGGAAGAGAAGTAATCACTGCACAAATGTCAGGGCGCAGCTGAATTGCAGTGTGTGTGTGTGTGAATGTGCGTTTCAGCCCACACCAGTGTGAGGAGGAGCCTGCAGCGTGGGTTGTTGGTGTGCCTTGTGAACACGGGGAGGCAATGTGTCTCCAGCAGACCGATGTGTCTCCAGCAGACTGGCTGTCTCTGCTCGGCCAATGCTGCAGGCATCGCCAACAGGGCCAAAAGCATTCCTCCCAAAGGCTGTTTTTTTTGATTGTGTGTTTTTTTTATTTCAGCCACAGGTTTAAACCAATATAGAAAATCTTCCATGGACAGTGCTTTGTTAAGTGGTAGAAATCCAACTTGTTTCCTCATCTGGGGATTTGTTGTTTTCTGCTTTGTGGTCTGGAGCACAGTGTGTACCCCTGCAAGGAGTGACAGTACCACTTGAGTGAGAGAGTGAGCTGCGGAGAACTTGGTGAGACTTGAGTTTTCCCATATGTATTATCTTCCTTATGTACAAGTGGAAGGCCAGGTAGCTGTGGAAGGTTTCTCCCCTGCTCCCATATGAAAACTGCAATATCCTACTGTGCTGGGGCTGGGACTCAACTCCCAGTCCTGAGCAAGCTGCTCTTCACACCAAAGCAGCTTTGAACAGCTGATGTCTCACTCATGCTCTGCTTTTCTCAAGGTTCTTGTGATATCCTCAGTTACCAGAATCTTCTGATCTACACTGAATTTCTGATGTTGAAAAATAGTTTTCCCTGTTGTATGGAAACCCTCAGCTATCTGCTCTGTGCCCTTCCTGCTTGAGAATGGCCGTTTCCTTCTGCGTGCATGGATGCTCATTAGCTCTCAGTGCAAGAAGCTGAAGGGACAGCCTGACTCAAGAGCAGACTTCAGCCTGCAGTTTTTAAGGGTCTGGGCACAGCAGGGGTGGGTTCCTCTCCCCATCAGTTTACCTCAGTCTGTTCAAGAGTAAAGTATTTCCTCCATTAAATAAAAAGTATCACTTCACAGTCAGGGAGACTTGCATGTAATCTCTGGACAGAAAGCAAGCAGACACTTGAACAGCATCAATGTCTTGGAGTCAAATAATGAATGTG